CCGACGGTAACAGAAAACTTTTCCGTTTAAAGCATTTCCGGAAAATCGTGCCAATCTAGACGCAGCCTTAATGTTGGACATCTCTTGTTGAACATAGCTATAGCTGATAATGAGAACTATAAAACAATGTGATGAACTTTGTCAGAGCAGAAGTGCACTTTTTACTTACAAACAGCCACCAATCATCCCTTGCTTCATTTAATCTAGGGGTGGGGAACCTCTTTAGGGTCGGGAGCCCCTGACCCTCTGAAAAATCAGTTGCAGGCCTGTAGTGAGTCATCATAGCCACCTGCTAACCCACCAAGCCCTAAATAAGACTCCTGGGTGGGTGGGGCCAGAGCCACCCAGCCAACCCACAGGAAGCAGAAGGGCAGGGCTGGGATTATAAAAGCAGACCTTGAGAGCTCAGTAAGAGCCCAACAGGTGAGCAGGCCAGGTGCTCTCCTTGGCCTCCCCAGGAGGGAGGCCCAACAGGCACAACACCTAAGGGATGACTGGATAGGGCCCCTGGTACCACTGCCAGATGCTGGAGACGGGCCAAGGCCACTCTGAACCCTGCCAGGCACCAAGGAGAAACTGAGGGGACCACACCCCACACCAGGCCCCCTAGTCTGGGTTGTTTTGCCAGGACCAAGGAAGGACCCAGACCCCAAGCCTAAGAACATCCCACCAATGCCAGCACTCCCAGAGGGCCCCAAGAAGCAGCAGTCACACCAGGTAGGCCCACAAGGGGAATTAGGAGATGGCCCAGGGAAAGCTGACCCCGCACCAGCTGGTGAGATGGAAGTCGAATGGACAGCATGTAGCAGCCTGGAGCCCCACTAATCTCCCTTCTCCCCCACCCTCCTGCCACCCTTCATTTGGGGTGGTAGGTTTCCCCTGTAGGAAAAAAACCCTGCACTTGTTGGATCTCCACCAAAGCTAAGAGGGTATGTATACACTACCACCCTAGTTCGAACTAGGGTGGTAATGTAGGCAACCGGAGTTGCAAATGAAGCCTGGGATTTGAATTTCCCAGGCTTCATTTGCATCTCGCCTGGTGCCACCATTTTTAAATGTCCGCTAGTGTGGATGCCGTGCCGCGCGGCTACACGCGGCACGGACTAGGTAGTTCGGACTAGGCTTCCTATTCCGAACTACCGTTACTCCTCGTTTCACAAGGAATAGGAAGCCTAGTCCGAACTACCTACCTAGCGGACATTTAAAAATGGCGGCGGCCGGCGAGATGCAAATGAAGCCCGGGAAATTGAACTACCTACCTAGCGGACATTTAAAAATGGCGGCGCCCGGTGAGATGCAAATGAAGCCCGGGAAATTCAAATCCCGGGCTTCATTTGCAACTCCGGTTGCCTACATTACCACCCTAGTTCAAACTAGGGTGGTGTGTAGACATACCCTTATAGGTTTGTTTGTTTGTTTGCTGCCCCGCCCTGACCCAGACCATTGCAACTGATCTATAGACTTATTTGGTTGTTTGCTGCCCATCCTGACCCAGGCTGAGGCTGACAAACTGTACAACTGCCTGGATGTTTGTTGCCCATCCTGACTCAGGGCCTTTATTGATGATATACCAGTGTAGTGAGTAAGCATGGCCGCCCGCTGACCCGGACTGGTACACAGCCACACAACGTGGGCTCCCCAATAGTAGGAATGGCACTGAGCCTCAGGAGCTGGAGCCAGGCAAGCCGAGTGCCGGATCTGGGCCCCAGGCCTGAGGTTTCCCATCCCTGATTTAATCAGTGACTCAGACAAGATGATTAGCTCCAGTAATTGTTAAGAAAACAGATTTCTTCTTTAGTGGTGTTGAAAGTGCTTGCATTTAAACAGACACCCCCATTTGGACAGCGTACATATTATTCAATGCTGGGCATGAACAATTTGACTCACAGCTTCTCTCCCAACCCCACTATTAAAGTGTCCTTAAGCAAATCAGTAGATTAAGTATTTTTAACACTCACCCATATCTAATCAAGGAATATTCACAGCTACCTCAATTCTGCTGAGCTGTTTAGCATATTTCCAATTCTGAATTCCTTTCTATGCTTGTGATAGTGGATTATTTAATTTTATGTGTGATACAATGCTTAAATGATGTGTTGATAAGTATAGCCTGATAAATACAGGGCACTGAGATTTAATGAATTCATCTCCACTCTGCAAATTTAGAAACCATGATAAGTGATTAGAAAATAAGCCTAGCATGCTTTTATTTATGGAACATAACTAATGAATTTGTTTTCTCTGAATAATTGCAATAATCAATTGAAATAATATCAGAAATGCATACTAAATAGGCCAGACAATGTAAAATCTTAAATGCTTTTCCCCAGATGTCTTCCTTGAAACTTCCATCAACAGGACCTACAGCATTGTCATGCTGGTTTCTAACCATATATTTCTCTGCAAGAAAACTATGCCTAAAATTAAAAGAAAGTCTGATGAGAAATCTCCAATGGCCAATTACCTTGTATTGCTAAGAGAAACAATAACCACACTGCAGAGTTCTCTCTCTCTCTCTTTAATTGCCTAACAGCACAGGCACTGGTACATAAATAGAAAGTAATAGTTTACAAGATCCTTTCTCAACGTGGCTGACTCCTTTAATGTATATCACACAACCCATTGTGAAATAATGTATTTGATTTAGATGATGTCATAACATTAATTTACCTTCAATTTGACCACAGTGAGAATCTAGACACTATGGCTACGTCTACACTGGAATGATTTTCCGAAAATACTTTTAACTGAAAAGTTTTCCGTTAAAAGCATTTTCGGAAAAGCACATCTAGATTGGCAAGATGCTTTTCGCAAAAGCACTTTTTGCGGAAAAGCGTCCGTGGCCAATTTAGACGCGGAATATTGTTCTTTTTTAGCTGAAACTCTTGAATAAAAAATTCAACCTACATCTTCTTTCTCTATTTAGCATGCCACCAATTACTCCCAGACATAGCAATCTTAGAACCATCTTTATTGTTTTTTTTTTTATTCTATGAAAAAAATTGAAGGTTTATCATGGGCATTGCTTGTTAATTTTAAAACAGATATGGACTGATTCCTACCAAACTTTTTAGCAACACTCGGTACAGAGTATTAGCTGACAACATTCCCCAAACCCCCAAACTGTACCTGACTTTGTGGAAACTTACAATCCAAAATACTTTGCCGAATTTTAAGCAATCAAGTCGGCCACCCAGATACTGGGGCACCTAAAATTAATGGACACTTTTGGAAAATTTTGGCAGTATTATCTCTCTGATAATATAGGGTATGTCTACACTATCCTCCTAATTCGAACTAGGAGGGTAATGTAGGCATACCGCACTTGCAAATGAAGCGCGGGATTTGAATTTCCCGGGCTTCATTTGCATAAGACGGGCGCCACCATTTTTAAATCCCAGCTAGTTCGAACCCCGCGCCGCGCGGCTACACGCGGCACAGAGTAGCTAGTTCGGATTAGGCTTCTAATCCGAACTAGCTGTACTCCTCGTGGAATGAGGAGTACAGCTAGTTCG